GGTAGTCATAGGGGCATTCCTGCCAGCTGGCACTCACAATCCCATTAGCAGCAGGGCCCTGAAAGGGCTTTCCTCTTCTCCTCCTTGGCCAAGGTATGTTAACTGCGCATTCAAGCGCAAAGATGCTGGTCAGCACAAGCAGAAAACAAAGCAAAACATTATAAAGCTCCCATCTCTGATGAACTTGACTACCCTCTCCATAGCTTTCCTAATTAACATGCAAGGAGCTTTGAGAACTTCGGATAGAAGGTGTGACAGAAGCACCATTTTTATTTTCGCTTAGCGCTGGAAGAGTGCTTAGCTCTTGCACCCATTTCCCCCTCCTTCCAACTTTGTGTGTGTGTGTGGGGGGGTGTTCAGTATGTGTGTGCGCACACACACATTCTTGCTGACCTCCTAAACTGCAGTCTACCTGTGAGAGGGGAAGGGGAAGGTTATTGCAACAAGGACTAAAACTATTTCTCCTATTATGGTGCCCTGAAGATGATGGGCTTAGTGTGCAAGCAGCATATGGAATGAGCTCGCACAATGTGCTCCAAAGCCTATTCACCTCTTCTGCTGCATAAGGCCTGGCCATAGTGTTTGGGGACATTAAGATAAGGAGTGTACTTCACCGGGATGGTTAGTGGCCCTGCTCCAGGTTATGAAAGTGTGGTGTGGACCAAAGAGCAACAGAAGGGGGGGGGGGGGGGGAGCGCGGGGTGGTAGAGAGCCACAGGGCCCAGTTGGGGATGTGAAGGGGTGAGGACAAAGAGGGAGTAGGAACCCAACACAGGCCCAAGAAAGTTTGTCCCAGATGCATAGTGTGATTAAAGAAAGAAAAGGAGTACTTGTGGCACCTTAGAGACTAACCAATTTATTTGAGCATGAGCTTTCATGAGCTACAAATAAATTGGTTAGTCTCCTAAGGTGCCACAAGTACTCCTTTTCTTTTTGCGAATACAGACTAACAGGGCTGTTACTCTGAAAAGTGTGATTAAAGAACTTTCTCTTCTCTAGTTGTCGAGACGACATACCAGTCCAGTTTGGCAAACAGTGCCTGTAGGCTACAGCAGAATAGCACACTTACATATCACTTTACACTCAGCCACACACATAGAACCTTACCTACTGTCTCTGATCACAGTGGGGAATGTTAGGGTTACACAAGTTTATTACCTTGGTGCTAGAATCAAGGTCATTCATACTGGTGAACTGCAGTTAGGTCACCCCTTCCCCTCCGGTCCCCCCCAATTCAACTACCAAACTCTGAGACCCAAAGAGAAGAAACGAGGCCAAGGCATCAGATGTTCCTGCTTGTAATGAGAAGTCAGGACCATTAACGATGAACATGCCTTATGGTGATTGCTTTTGTGCTTCAGTGAGCCCAAAGCTTCTTTCCTTCCAGTCATAGAATGTGGGGAAGTAGGAGACGGCGGGGCTAAGGGGTTGAAATGGATTTTCTGTCCAAAACAGGAGCAAGAGTTTTTATGCAGTTCAAAGCTTACAGTGCCTTTGACAAGCTGTTCCCTACTGGTTTTCTGACGATTCCTACATATGTCATTTGCCCCCCGGGTTTGCAGCTAGAACATGAAGGCGTAGCGTGGCTCAGTCAAAGGTCACAGGATAAAAAAAAAAAATGACTGGGTGAAGCCTTTAAAGCCAGAGGGGGCTATTTCCACCTCAGTGGGGTGACCCTGGGGATTTGTAGTCTTGAGTAGCACTTGTCTTGAGCCCAACTATGAAGACATTTTAATCTTCCAAATAAGCATGTTTTACAAAGAGCAGAGAGGCTGGACAGAGATGCCCAAGGTGTCCTTTGGCTAAAAAAAACCCCTGACAGTGCTGCCACCAGTGGCTAGTAGGGGACGTTGCGCCTGTCATCATTCCCCCCCCTTTCATTTGCACACATATGCTTTTATATCTATCTATCTATAGAAAATACACACACACACCCCCCTCCATCAGCTGAACTGTAGCCAAATGTGGTCAATACCGCTGAGCTGCCATTCTTAAAGATGCCTTTGTGCCTGACTAGTCAGTAGCTATGAGATCTGGTAAGGCTGCCGCATTAAAAAAAAAGGGGGGGGGTGGGTGGGCTGTGCATGACCAACAAAAAGGGGGTGGCTTGGTTCCCCACCTCTACAGGCTTTAGCTCTGTCACACCCATTGTTACCCACCTCGAATAACCCCCTGCACACCCCCCCCCAAGTTCAAATTTCCCTCACAACCTCTTGTCAAATTCTGCCGCTCCCCAAGTTGGCCTCACACCCAAACTTCAGATTCCCATCGCTGCCTTCCCAAAGCCCTCTCCTTCCTGGCACTGACTCCCCCAGCTGAATGTTTCAAATCCAGGACTAGAGGAGAGGAACCAGAGAGCCAAGGCTTTCTCATGAGGCAGGTACCACACGTTGGCTGTGTGCTCACCCACTCCCATAACCCAGTTTGGGCTTGTCAGCCCCAGCCCTGCCATTCTTGCTGTGGTGAAGGAATCTGCCTTGCGCCCTCAGAATGTGATAAGCTCTTGGGACCTGAGCCACTATTGCGTCACTTGGCGCATTAGCTGAGCTGGATTGTGGGGTAACAGGGCACAGCACAGCTGGTGGGCCGCTCAGCTTGGGTAGACCTACAGGTGATAGGACTGCGCACCTACTGCCTAAAAATAGCAGTATGGCTGTGATAGGACAGGCTATATGCCGGACTACAGACTTGGGTGGCTCGCCCTGGCTGCTAGCCATGCATTCATGCTCACACTGCTATATTTACATGCTAGCTCAACTATGTCAAGCTGGGCAGCACTCACCTTGCACCTAGACCTACCCAACTCTTGGGGGGGCGGTGTGGGGGGTAGTGTTGCCCAGTCATATGCCTAGGTGCCTAGCCCTACTCTGGCCCCAGGCTCACCCCACCCAGACCCCCCACTCCACGACCTGGGCAACAGCATGCGGTGCAGGATGGACAGAGCGGGTCACAGCCCGCTGGGCAGATGGACACCAAGAGAGGGTTGGGCAGGCCAGGCAGCTCACGAGCCCTGTCAGGGTTCCCCAGCCTGTGTGCCCATTGAGCCTTGTCATCTGGTGCCTGCTGAGTGGTAAGGGTTGGTGCCCCCCCCACCACAGGGTCCCAGCTCCAACTGGGCCCCAGTCCTGCCCTGAACCCCAGCTTCAGGCTCTGCTCCCCAGTTCTGTTGCTTCACCCGTGTCCTGCGCTTCCCTTGGTCCTGCCCCCGCCAACTCCAGCCCTTAGCATCTGCCCCCCACTCACGTGATGAGCTAGCACAGTCTGTCGTTGCCCACCCAAATTGCCACTCCTAGCTGGGGAGCACATCTCCGAGCTCTGATGTAGCTGCACCATCGGTTGGGTGGCTGAAGGCAGAGGCCTTGCTTGGTAGAAAAATGTAAGTTTGACAAATGTGTTTAGGCGGGGTAGCTGACTGGGAAGGAGTGCCGTAGGTTTGCCTCATTTCTATCACTTTTGCTTTCCTTAGGGAAGGCTAGATCCCTCTTCTTTTCAATCTAAAATTTAATTTTCAGCCTGCTATTTCTAGTTATTCCCTGATCAAGTCTACTTTGTCATTGCTGTTTACACTCTTCAGCTGTTTGTTAGACTATAAGCACATGTATGGTCCCACCCCACCCCACCCCGTGCCAAGCTACACATGTAAGGGACGCATTTTTCAAAGGTACTGACGCTCCTAAAGATGCAAACAGTCTGCTAATCCAGTTAGGTGCTTAATTCCCATTGATTTCAATGACCACATTAAGCAGTTTTTGTAAATCCCACTGCAGGTTACAGTCACACTGGGGTTTCGGTGCTGCCTTGCCCAACCCATAAGTATTCTATGGCTCCTCCATTTCTCATTGTGGGCATGAACCAAGATACCTAAGTCCAGACACCGGGCCCACACCTCACGCCTGAGCAGTGCTATGCCCAAATGGCCCTTGTGCATCTAGCCCTAAGTGTCGACTCATAACGTTTCTTTTCCTGTGATGCAGGAGGAACTGCTGCTCCCACCATCAAAGCACAGCCCCGCTCCTGCTCATTTTTCAGCTAGAGGCCTAAAACCAGAGCATATTGGTTTTATTATTGGTCAGCAGTAGGCTTTGGCTTTCACACTTGCATTGAACTGTGGTCATTTCAGTGAATCACAGGAGCCAGACATGGAAAAGGTCTTCCAGGCAAATGTAGGTTTATTTCTCGGCCAGCACTGGCCCGTGCTTTCAAGGTTCTGTGCATAGATGGAGTATTCACCTCTTCACCTAGGAAACTAGTCTACAGCTGCTCACTATCAGGGAGCATTCCCTATTCAGCATTACCTCATTATTTACCTTAATTTCATCCCCGCGGTCCTTATTATACCTCCTTGGAGCAACCTTCGTCACTTCTTTAGATCCTTTCACAAAGCTGTAGGGCCTGACGGGCCAGACTTCTTTCACTGCAGTGGAATTACAGAAGCACAGAATTCATGTAGCAGAGCAGCTACTCAGGCCCTTTGGCTTTTATCATGTAACTCCCTGGAGGCCCTGATTCTTCACTACTTCTCACTGTCAATTATGTTGATGCAAAATGGAAGTAAAACGCTCTCTCCCTTTAATGTGGGATAAACAACTGCAGAATGTCCAAGGCAAAGGAGAACGAGGCTCACAGCCCTTTATTTCTATTTAACCAATATGCAGAGTCTTAAGCAGAGGGAGAGAGGTTGGAAATAGGATTACAAAGCTCCCGAAGTATCTGGGCCTCTATGGCGTATCTCGGCATCTATGTTCTTGTTTTGTACAGAACTGAGCACGGGTTCAGTTCTCCATTAGTAATAAATAAATCCTTTAAATGCATCCCTCCCTCTCGCTACCTAATCACTTTTATTGCCCTTTTCTGTGCTCTGTTGCTTTAACAGAATGCAACTTAAATTGAACTTTCTATTGGACCTATTCTAAGCTAACAGCAGAAGCCGCAGGCAGTAGAAGGGCTAATTTCCCCCCCGCCACCATTCCCAAATCACCGTGGGCAAAAGAAGCAATAGATGCACCCAGATCAGTTTTATTTGGAATATATATGAAACATGACCCTATCAAAAGTTATAGGGTTTCTTTTTTCTCCCCTTTTTTCTTTTTTTAAAAATGAAAATAAAGGGAAACAAAATAAAAACCTAGAAACCAAAAGAAGAGAAATATCAGAGGAAAAGCATGCACGCAATCTGTAAACAAGTCCTAGATTTACCTACAGTGCTGCTGTGTTTTCAATTAAGTACCAAACAACTTCACTAGAACAGGAGTTTGACTTCATTGTAAGAGGTGGTTATAATCCCCTAACATTAATAAAGGAAACAATTGGATCACAGAAAAACTTCACCAGAAGTTGAATTTCAATACACAGCATAAGAGTCCACTGGAAAAGGGTTCTACCCAATGTTATCAGAAAAACATCAGTTCTCTTAGACACATTTAATAATCTAAAAGGGTTTAACGACACCTATCTGCTCACATCATAGGGCCTAGTCCATTAAAGGAAAAAAAATCCCTGGATTCAGTTAAAAAAAAATACAGTGTATACAGAGCCATATTATGTGATTGGCGGCAGCATTACAGTTAGTGTGCACACTAGTTTAGAAAATACATACAATTGAGCACTGCAGGTAATTGGGCCTTTTGACCATGTAATACATATATCTGAAATATTCATAGGGCCTGCATCGCAAACCCAGGAGTAGCTGCTGTATCCTTACCACGAGCCCCGGCCAGGAAGAATATTTTAACAGTAATATCCTCTGAACACCATACTGTTGCTGCAATACTTTTGAAATGTATTTTTTTCTTCAGTGTTTCTCAATGTTGGTATCAATGCAAGGGTAATTGGGTGGAAGCCTCTGGCCTGTGTTATACAATTCCAACTAGCTTATCTAATGAGTCCTTCAGGCTTTAGATCTATTAAGCCCATGAGTAAGACTGCAATAGGAGAGTTCACTAAGGGCAAGAGTCTTCTCTCAGGTCTGCACTGCAGGTTTCCCCTCCAATATTCCGTGTAGGCACATAAGTCTCTGTGGAAAAACCATATGGGCAACAAGGAGATCTCAACAGTGGGTGATTAGGTCTCAATCCTGCAAACATTTATGTGCAATATTAATTTTCAGCCCCGAGTACTCACACTGAAGCCTCCTTGCTTAAAGTTAAGCATATAAGTGTTTGCAGGATCTGGCACCTTGGATACCATAGTGATCGGTGCTAGCAAGAGATGTGCAATGATAACGAGATTACAGTAAATTTAGATTCAGATAGGTTAGCTTAGTCAAGATCAGTTGGGTAGAGCAGAGAGGAATTTTGCCTCTCTTGTTTATATCATCACCCCAATATGACACACTAAGACAATCAAAAATATCACACAGAAGGTTTGGTTTGTTATTTAAAGCCAACTCCCTTTTAAATTTGCGAAAAAGAACAACTGAAAATATCAGAATTTGATTTGCTGATTTTTAATCTGCAAAGTAGACTTTAGGGATAAGCAAGAGATCAGGTCAAACTTCATGTTGGAATATAGCACTAAACACAGCACTACAGAAAGGAATGAGCTTTGCCATGTATTGTGAAATCTTACAGTCTCAGTAAGTACGAGTATCTCTTTTTACCCTAAAAAGATAAAGGGATTTGAATGTCACATTCACCACTTCTAAAACACATGTTGAACGTGAGCCAATATGGTCGGATATGATCTGATTTAACTTCCTATGGACTTTACTATAAGTGCAAGTACAAACACAAGGCTTGGTTCTAATCTCAAACCAGACGAACAGAACTGACTTTTCTGGAGTTCCTCTTGGTTTACACCAGTGTAAGCAGGCTTAGAAACATAGCCAGGCTCTTTGGGTTTGCCTATTTGATCATTTAATTCATAGCAAACTGGGGGTGTGAATCTACCCCACACTGATCCACATTAACAACTCCTTAATGACCTTTGACCTACGCCCGTTTCAAAGCCGGTAGATCAAAGTGTTCTATGAAACTGTTACTGTGCATCAGCAGTGTCCATGCGGGCTAATGCCGCTTGCCACAAACTAAATGTTTGTGTACACAAGCCCTTTTAAAGACTGTATTTAGAAAATGCAAAAACAGTCCAGCCTAACAGGTTAGCATTTTTAACCTGTCATCTTTATCCCTTCATTTATTTCTTCTTGAAATCAAGATTAATAGTTATATGCTGAGATGAAATCCAGTGCGAAGGGTAACAGAAATGCTACCACTGGCAGGAATCTTCTGCTTATATTTTATTTGCTAAACAAGTTTAATCCTTTCCTTTGGGCAAAATCTTGATCCAGTTTAAATCAATGGCAAATCTCCCCTTGACTCCAGTGGAACTGAGATTTGGCCCCTTATGACTTCCTGCAAATCATCCACTGGAGTCTATGAAATGTGTTTCTGTGACTAAGAATTCTAGCTCCAATCCCAGACTGGTAAATTACACACAATGGGCTTTGGTGAATGTAACACAATTCAAATGGATGCAATTTCAGTGTATTTATAGCAGGCCAATTCCTCCCAGTTTGTCAGGGTTGTACTGGAATGGGCCCAGAAAGTATTTTCTTCCAGATGTCACACAAGTGTTTATTCTCAACAGAAATTGCGGCTGAGTTAGGACTGCTGGATTTGATCCTTCGAAGGGTAGTTCCACTCGGAAAAGGGACTAAAAAGAGGACGGGGGGGTTCCTGGGTTTATTGGTGCTCGGTATTTTCTGTACTTCAGATGTGCAGTTTCCAAGCAAAAAGATGTTGTTCTCTGATTGTTAGCCCTGCAAACTCTGAGAACCAAATTCTCACAAATTATCCCCAGTGATAAAGGCTCTGTAGGCTAAATAAGTCCCTCAACTACTTCTGTGCAATGCAGATGTCTTGGGAGTATGTGCTCAGTTACACATGGGCACCCTCAGGCATCCAATGGGATGGCCCCCTGTAACTAATTGGAAGTTAAATAAACATTTCTATAGGTCTTGTGCCAGAAGTTCATAGTTGAGGTGGTTCTTCAGTTCTAACAGCAATAAAAAGCATCATACTTTAATTGGAAACAATCAAAATAAGTGGGAAAATATCTGCAAAAACAACCATTCATAAACACCTCAGGAGAAAAGGTTTTGTTTGTTTGAAGATATTGGGTAGTGGCCACTGCCACTCAAACAACCTCTGAGGAGTATGAGGCAAATACAAATGGGGACATTTTCAGCATGATGAATAGGGACTTATCTGCAAGTGGTAGTTGCATGGACAAAGTGTCCCTGCATTAGGCTCAGAAGCAACCCTTAAACATATGTCCCAGTAAGCTACTGCGCTTAAACCATTGTTAAGAGAAGATTTTCAAATCTCTTGATTGGAGAAGACAGCACCCTTTCATGCTCTCTCTGTGGCTATAAGACAATAACCAAAACCAGTGAGCTAACGTGCTGTATGGAACAAGGACCCAGTCATCACCCAGTGAAGTCGATGACAAAACTCCCAGGGACTTCAAAGGGAGCAAGATTGGGACCCAAGGCCCAGATGGAAGTTCAGTGCCTAAATACCTTGAGGATCTGGGCCTAAGTTCCCATTTTTTCCATTTTAACTTTAGGCCAGAAAACTCTTGTGTATTGAAATATTTCTAAGTAGTTTCTCTACAAGTGTAGATATGTGGCTGGGAGCTGATAACATTTTCCCTGCCACACACAGGTCTGTGTAACATTTAGATCATCAACTATATTTTACAATCTCATCCTTGGCAACAACAACAAAAAAAACCCTCTCCAGAACGTGTCAAAAGGAGAAGAGGAGCTAGGCTTAAGGTGGCAAGTTCAGAGTCCAGGTGCAGGTGGAAACATTGCAGACCTGCTCATTCATGATTTCTTGGACCCACATCTTTTATAGAAGTGAAGCTCTCAAGTGGGACTCGTTCCAAACAGAACCCACTGCCATGACTTGACTTCCTCGCTCACTCAATGGCTTCCATAACATCCTGTCCCTTTTCTGTGTCTCAGAACAGAGCTTTCCTAGAAAACCACAGACCATGAGGTTGGTGGTCACACTTCTCATAAATATCTAACCCTGACTCTTTCCTCCAACTCACTCCTTCTCTCCTTTCTACTCTAGTAGAATACCACATTCATCTACCGGGTTTTAGGAGAGTGTGCATCACTTTGTGGTTGCATAAAGCTGCTACCGTATTTTGCCACAATGCATTAATATACACCTTTGAAACAATAAATAAAGGGAAAATGTACTGGATTTAAATATAGGTTTCCATTAAAAGCATTTAAAAGACCTTGCTTTAGTTTTGAATACATCAAAATGAAAATTCACCCCCTACTACAAAAAAAATCATCCCTTGCAAGTAATGTTAATGGGGAGTGTGTGTAGGGAGAGTTAGAGAACTAGCAAGTGTTCGGATGGGCAGAGGCCCTCTACCCCAGTCACTTTGCAATGGCACCTGCTTCTCACAGAGTCAGGTAACAGAGCTGCCGAGTTGTTACGTGGAGGATTTCACCACCTGCTCATATGGGGGTGGGGGTGCGTTGCAGTAAGAGGGTGGAGGTGGGTACACTGGATTCCCTGGTGGGGAGTTGGGCTGGACATGGAAAGCCATAGCCATGGGGTTCATCACAGGTCCTCCTGGATCCGTGTAGTATGGCATCCCTGGTTGCTGTGATCCTAAAAGAAATGGAGCAAAAATACATTAATTTACAAGGCAACGGTAAATTTACAAAAGACAGGCTAGTATGATGCTGCTCCAATGCTGGGGAAAGCACAGATATGCTCTTCTCTAAAGGCAAATGATATATAGTAGGTTTTAACTGAAGTATGTGACACATGGCCAAGACAATGCACAAAAGTTGTTGCCATCTGACGGCTGCCCAGTCACATGAGGTTGGTGGTCTCAGTCCAGTGGGCAGCGGTTGACACCATAACAAATCACCCTCACACTTACTAGCATCCTGGCTGGGAGTCTCAGAAGACAACTGAAGGACTGAATGGACCCAGAGACGGAACTACCTTTCACCCCCTAAAGGTGCTTTCTCCAGATCACACGCACTGGGGATGCTTGCCCAGTCACTGCTTCTTCTGTGGATAGAAGTGTTCACTTTCCAGGGCTGTTGAACCTGCACCAAATTTAGGAGCACTAAATTCACTTTGTAGAGAAAATACACCATAGGATCTCAGCCTACACTCAGAGCCTTTAACGCATGTACTCTATATTCAGTTGCCTGCGGATACTGTTTGAATACAGTAAGGACATATCCCCAAGGATAAATCCCCAAGATCCCCAAGAAAAATGAGATGGAAACCCTAGAACATGTATTAATGTACTTAGCTGTGTCAGCAAGAAACAACATTCCGATCAGCAAACATTAAGGGCCCAATTAATACCAACATGCTTGCTAATAAGGCTGTTCTGTGATTCTTCACTAACCTAATTGCAACATCTTTGACATGAGCAATTAGCGTAGGCCAGAGAGAACAGAGAACAAACATGGTTGCTCTAGGCCCAAGGAAACTTTGATTCCATTGACATGCTGTCAGTTCATTTAGGCACAAAACTTCAACTAGCTCAAAGGGAAAAAAACGTAAACACACAACCAAAGTAATATCAAAGAACATATTAATAAATCATTACACCTAATGACAAAGGAGAGTAAGTCACTAAAAGCAGCATTTTGAATATGATGAAAAAGAAGCATTAGTCAAACACCAAGCTACTGCCTGGAAAGTATGATGATTAGTATTATATTACAGTAGTGTCTAGAAGCCCCAGCTGAGATCAGGAGCCCACTGTGTCAGGTGCTATACAAAGACTTCGTAATACACAGTCCAATAGGTGCTGGAACTAAGGGTGCACGGGTGCTGCAGCACCCACTGGCTTGAAGTGGTTTCCATTATATGCAGGGTTTACAGTTTGGTTCAATGGTTCTCAGCACCCCCACTATACAGATTGTTCCAGCACCCCTGCACAGTCCGTGCCTCAAAGTGTTTAAATCTAAACAGACGATGGCTTGGAGGTGGAAGGCAGAGGCACAGAGACGTGAAGTGATCTGTCTGAGCTCAAACAGAAAGCCAGTGGCAGAGCCAGGAACAGAACCTAGGATGTCCACGTCCCAATCCAGCGCCCCACCCACAACGCCTCTCAATTGCAGTAATTAGAACTGGTAGTAAAAATTCCAATGACATTTTTTTTTCCATTGAAATTTGAAGATTCAGTAAAATCAAATTGCTTTGCAGAGCTGGTTCGATTTCACCCAAGTCCTATTGGAAACCTTTTTGGATACCTGCCGGCGTGTCCACCTGGCTCTGCAGTAGTCCGCATGCCTCAGAACTGGGAGAACCCAGGGCTTCCAGGGCCTGGGGCTCCCAGGCAGTCTGCCAGACAGACATGTATCCATGTACCTTTGTCTCCTTGTTCTTTGTACTCCCCCACTGATCTGTCTATATCCATCTGTTGTCTCTTGTTGCATACTTAGATCGTAAGCATGTTAAGGCAGGGGCTGTCTTTTTGTTATGTTTGTAGAGTGCCTAGCACTATGGGGTACTGAAGCTCCTCAGCACTATGGTAACAAATAACACCACCACCATCACTAGACAGGATGGAGAGCTGGGGGTCGGTAGTTTTCTGCGTGGCAAATAGAAAGATGGGATTAGGCAATGATGATTCTAGGCAAACGTTCTAAGGCTTCATCCATCTTTCCATTTACTTCACTGCCACAAGCCCTTCCTCCCCTCCCCTGGCACAATGCCCACTAGCAAACCTTCATTCCTAAGGGAATAAATTATATTCCTGGTGATAGCTACCTGAAAATTAGCAAGTTTAACCAAAGATGATATTATAGCCAAATCTGAGTAAAAATACCTCTTTAAGATGGAGCCTCCTTACAGTGGTGCAAGAATTCACACTGCAACGGATCACAGGCAGTTTAGAGCTATAATAATCAAACTTCCTTCTGTCTGGATCCATGCAGCATGACAAGAACAGCAAGGGCCACATTTTCAAAGAAGGGACCACTGGATGTACCTACCTATCAGCTGTGCCTGCCAAATGCTGTATGAGCACATCAGTTGGCATTTGTGCATGCCAGGGTGGGGTTCTATGAGAGAATACACACACTGTTTCAGGTGCATCTGTGATTCTTCCTTGGGCAGACTGGCCCCAAGAGATCTAAGCCAGTACACCCAGAAAAGCTGAACAGCCCAGACCTGCTGCTGGTTAACTATCTCCTCTCAGGGCCTGATCCAACTTCCATTTTGTGTTTTGTAAATTGCTCTTGGGAGAGGTTTTGGTACTAATTTGCCGACATTGATTTTGTTTGCCCCCGTCACATATGCTACAATTACAAATAAATAGCTTTGGGGGTTTGCTTTTCTTATTACTTTATTTTTAAACCAAGATCTTTGTCTAAAATCTTCCAAGATACAGAAAAATGCACCTGGTATTTTACAATGTACTGAATGGTGTTGCCTCTTGGACTGCATCTCAAGCTCACAAGCCCCCTTTAAGACAGACAAGTGTGAAGCCCAATCCAGCTCCAGCTCAAGTCAATACAAGTCTCATTAATATTACGGGACGGGATTTCTTAGCACAGAGTAAGATTAAGAAATGTCGAATTCACAAGGCACTTCATTCATCACATGCCAATAATGAAATCTGGGCCCAGAACAACATGGAAATTTATGATCAAATGAAAAACTATGTGGTACCCAGAGAATCAGAGACATTATACTCCCATTAAGAATGACTGGAGATAGCTTCAAACTCTAGATATCATAATGATCATAATAGGATAAGAATGGCCATACTGGATCAGACTAGTTTCCTATCTCTGATAGTGGCCAATGCCAGAAGTTTCAGAGAGAAGGAATAAAACAGGGCAATTTCGAGTGATCCATCCCCTGTCGTCCAGTCCCAGCTTCTGGCAGTTGGAGTTTTAGGGACACATGGAACATGCAATTACGTCCCTGACCATGTTGGCTAATAGCCATTGATGGTTCTATCCTCCACAAACTTATCTAATTCTTTTTAAAATCCAGTTATACTTTTAGCCTTCACAAAATTCCCTGTAATGAGTTCCATAGGTTGACTGTCCATTGTGTGAAGAAGTACTTCCTTGTGTTTATTTTAAACTAGCTGCCTATTAATTTCATGGGTGGCCCTTGCTTCTTGTGTTATGTGAAGGAGTAAACAACACTTCCCTATTCACTTTCGCCATCCCATTCATGATTTTATAGACCTCCATCATAAATCTCTTTAACTGTCTGTTTTCTAAGTTGAACAGTCCCCGTCTTTTTAATCTCTCCTTATATGGAAGCTGTCCCTAGTCATTTTTGTTGCCATTCTTTACACCTTTTCCAATTCTAAATGTTTTTTGTTTTTGAGATGGGGCGACCAGAACTGCATGCAGTATTCAAGATGTGGGCCTACCATGGATTTATACAGTGGCATTATGATATTTTCTGTTTTATTATCTACCCCTTTCCTAATGGTTCCAAGCATTCCATTTTCATTTTTGACTGACGCTGCACATTGAGCAGATCTTTTCAGGGAACTATCCATGATGACTCCAAAATTTCTGATCAATAAAAATCTACTGAATATAGTCTCAGCAATTAAAAAGTTATGCCCTCTAGGAACTTTGCAGGGTTTGTCTGTGGGAATACATCAAGTTCTTTCCTCCTCTCTCTCTTTTTTCATGGCAAAGCTGAGTTAACAGAACGAAGTGGTCAAGGAGCAGCAGTTTCTCCTTGGTGCCTTGCTTCCTACTTTGTAAGGAAAGCAGCCCCCATGGATTTTCCATTTGATCACCAATTTCCATGCCTCAGTGGCCTGGGGATTCAGTATGACAACAGGATGGAACCCAGAGATACCTTGAAGCGTTACACACTACTTAATGCTTTTTCAGAGTGAGTTTTTATTCCCTAAGTATCAAAGCGAGATGGGCCTAAGCCATAAACTGCTGATCCAAACATCCATGGAGCTTGCGGTGTCTGGATCTTGCATTTGGCCCATTCAGGGGTTAAGGTTAGGGGAAGCAAGTTGGGAGCACAACTCCTTCCCTGCAAACAGATAGGAGCGCTTCTTCTCCATCCTGCCTTGGGTGAGTAGCACTTCCCAGACAGCTTCCTCTCTTCCTTTGCTGGGCAATGAAAGCTCCTGCCCAGTTTCTATCCAGTGTAACCACTGGTCCCATTATAGAAATGGAGTCGAGCCCTAGAGATTGGATTGGGAACTGGATCCAAACCCAAACTTCCCTAAAGTGCAGGGGTGTTTGGGCCTATGTCTACAATTACAGCAGTGTTATTTTTCTTAAGTATTTTGCCACAAAGCTGGTGCTTGCACATTTCAGCATTTTTGCTCACTTTTCCTTCCACAAAGGAAACTCGGGCGAGGAGTGGGGGAACTCCTTGCATTTTGCAATTATTATTGTTAAAATGTCTTGCATAACTACATCATAGTAACCAATTTATTTCCACACTGGTATTCAGATCAGTGATACTTTCAATAAACCCAATAGCAAAATAAGGGCTGGATCCTGACCTTCTTGCAGGATCAAATCCCAGGTGTTTACTTTTATTGTTTAGTATATCAGAACTATTCAAGCCCATTAGACCTTCAAAAATGGAGTGCTAAGCAGCCACAAATCCATTGGACTTGATGCGAGTCGTAGGTGCTCAGCACCTCTCAGGCCCGAGCTGTGCTTTATTTTAAAGGACAAGCATGGTCAGAAACGCAGAAGAATTCAAAGTAGCTGGGACTGAGACTCATATGAGAGAGACTGAGAAAGCACTTAATTTGTAAGTACCTAATCTAAAGCGCACCAAAGCCAATGGGAAAGACTCCCATTGATTTCAACAGGCTTTTGATCAGACCTTAAGATTTTTAAAAAAAATTAAAATCATGTGGCATAAGTAGGACATTAAAAGACTTAACTAGATAGCTATTTTCTATTTCCACATGACTTCTGCCATGTGTGGATCATTAAGAATCATTAAACATACTTGCCAATCCAGCCATGTGATCCAACCTCTGGGTTATTTCCAAGACTTATAATATTTTTTTAAAATTTTTTCCTATCATCTCAGGAAAGAACTACCTAAACTATCTCATTAGGAAAAAGTGTGATTGGTAAACAAAATATGAGTGTGTGTTTTTTCACACTGAATGGAATGTTCTATGCATTTAACACATTTAACAAATGAAAGAAAGAAATACCTTAAAGAGAAAAATAAAAATAAAAGGGAGTGTCTGAGAGTATGAGTGAGGGGGAATCCTTTTTTATGACACAGTTAGCTCTCTGACTGAAAGAGAGTATGTATGCATATGCATAAGGATGTGGATAACACTGAGCAGGGGTATTTCCAGAACTTATGCAGTGTATCTGTGTAGAGTAGGATATGGTAGAGGTTGGAAAGTCTGAACTTAAACTCTCTGTGTGACCTGCTGTTTGTGATTATGTGACTGGTTGGAACATTTTCAATTAACCTTTTTTCATTGAAATATGCTGCTTTGTTGAAGCTGAAATGTTTTGCGAAGATGTATAAATTTTGACAAAGTTTTCATCAGGAAAGTTTCTGAGGTTCAGAGTGGACTCTCCAGTCACTTTCAGAGAAAGAGAGACCCCAAATGAAACCCTGACCTTTCCAATTGGAAGACAGATGTTTTGACACAATATCTGTTTTGTGAAAACGTTGGAAACATTTTGGTTCCATTCCAATGCAGAACGACAAATTTTGAAACCTAGAAAGCTGTCAAGAAATGGAATAATAATCCTGCAGCCAGCTCTATCTGTGAGGCAATGTACTCCAGGTTGGGAGCAGAGGGATGCCTTAGGGTATGTCTACACTGCAGCTGGGCGTGTGATTTGCAGCTTGCATTCACGTACCTGTGCTAGCTGTACTCTAGCTAGCTAAAAATAGCAGTGAGGACGTATCAGTGTGAGCTTTAGCATGGAGTGCACAAGTCTGTCTGACCTTCGTGGGTACAGACTCGCTTGTGCAGCTGACGTGAAGCTCACACCACCATATCCTCACTGCTATTTTGAGCTAGCTAGAGTCCAGCTAGCATGGGTATCACTACATGAGCAGCCATTCACACCCATAGCTGCAGTGTAGATATACCCTTAGGGAGGGGGAGAGGAGTCAAAATCTCTTCACCAGGTATGTTGATGCTCATGGATATGGAGTGGTGTGGGCAGTGAGCAAGGTGTATATAAAAGTGTCTCCGTTGTGGCTGCCAGAGTGTGACAGGTACGTGTGGGTGTGAATTTAGGTACAGCTGCAGACCCATCATCTGCAGCTAGAGAGGGTCTCGTAACTGGAGGGGACCGGGTTCAAGAAGTCCCACAGAGCATGCATGCCCTTTGAAAGGCTCTCTGGGTGGGACTGTTTAGGGGACAGGATAGGGGTAGGCTGGGGGGAATGGAGGAGCTAGTTGATCCACTACTGTACAGATCCTTCAGACTTCCTCAAAATCATAGTTTGACAATTGAAAAATACTGAGACTGATAAGGAAGAAGTAGCGTTTTCCACTTCTAAAGCAGTATTCCGTAACATGGAGGGCACATCAAAAATGGAAAAACCACAGTTAGGTTATACTGCAGAAGGAAAATATTTGGTTGTTTCATTCTGGCAAAGGTATTTTCTAGTATATTGTACCAACTATGGGAAACCGTTCCTTATTATTCATATAAAAGAGGGACATCATTGCTAATGTGGCATTGACTACTGCTCTGCGTATGTTGCAATGGGATTAACTGTTTTCCTATCTTGTTTGCATTCATGGAGATAAGTTACAAAACCAGTGGGGGAAGAATTGTCTAGAAGGGATTAGTAAAAGAAATGCAAAAATTCTTTTGAAAGAGAATTGTGAGCACTGTGATTGCCTTTCTGTTCATTCTTCTGAAGCACCTGGCCACGGTCAGAATACAAAAAGAACAGGAGGACTTGTGGCACCTTAGAGACTAACCAGTTTATTTGAGCATAAGCTTTCGTGAGCTACTTCATCGGATGCATTCAGCTCACTTCATCGGATGCATTCAGAATACAGGATACTAGGCTAGATGGACCATTGGTCTGACCCATTCTTATCTCCTACTGGATCTCGGTAGTACTGGTGTACATTCAAAACCGGCGCAACATACTTGAAGCGGAATTGGAACCCACATCACCTGTGGTGAATTAAACTAGTGCAACAGCTACTCCTAGCTAAAATCACACCTTTTTAAAACGTTTCCTGTGCACACAGAAGAAATTAGGCTAGCAGATAAGTAGTCTCTAACCTGCTGCGGTGTTGGCTGGTTGTCTGGTGTAGGATACATTAAAAGTAGGTTCTTCTCCGAGTGGCGGAGGGTACATCCGCCTTCGGATGAAGAAACCAGCTCCGCAGCAGAACAGGACGCCCATCATCAGAAGGAACCTGAGCCAAAGGAGGAGGAAAAGTCAAACTTGGAGATGGCATCCATCTAAAGTGCAGGGTCCCAGGGAGCTGGGGTTGTTGAAAGATTCATAGATAAGAGAGACCAAGATCGTTACCCTCTAACTATCAGCTACCATATGCTGTTATCAGGATTTTCTGAAAATATTATTCCTTGAAAGCAGGACCGCACACACTGAGACACCTCTGTATGGCAGCACGTAGTTGCTATTTCTAAAGTGACTGAGGAGATTTTGTTCTTAGGAGTGTTTTTATTCATACAGTGGTTTTCCAGTGTATTTTCTCTTATTAGCTTTCAGGAACAATAGTGATTATGCCAGCAGAGCTGGGAGATTACTGTCTTCTTCCTGTAACTCTGGGGTTATGGGCTCATATGTCCCCTTCTGCCACCTCTTTACCTCACCTAAGATTTCCTTGAATCAGAATTGCAAATAATATTGATGGAAATAAATGACTTAGGTCCACGTGCCCCTTCTTTAGAATAAGGTGTACCAGAGGGGATTTCTTTGGAGCATAGCCATGCCATTCCTTAAACTGACCAGAGGGGTCACTGTTGAACAACCCAAATGCTGCTCTCTCCGCCCCAAATACTAAGTAGGTTTGCTCTGCAGGGCTCCCTTCTGGCTGATGGAGAGAAGGGCTGAAGGTACAAAAGTTGCATGGCAGCATAGACCACTGGATGTGATGGGCCAAATTCTAAACTGGTGTAAAGGAGAGCAGAATTTGGTCCCACATCACCAAGCCAACATTCATAAATTCCCTTTTGGCTCTGTTATTTTGAAAGTGTTTATCCTGAACATAATGGCTGAGATTTGCAAAACTGCCTTGGGGATTCAGATGCAGACATCACATTCAGTTAAATGTGAACAGTGCATCTAAATCTCCTATGCAGCTTTGAAAATCTCAGCCTATATATATATATTACTTTTAAATGTTAACTATATAAAATACCCAGGCAGGAAATGTGGTGGTTTATAGGGCTTGCTTAAAATGAGGCAAGTATGGGATCCATGTTCAGAAAAAAAGTCCTAACCTACCAAAAATACCAGAGTCGCTGGATAGAGAGGGCTCTTACGCAGCATCTTGACCCACAGCAATCTTCATAGGAGCGACATCTACATAGGAATAAAGAGAAAAGGACATTTAGGGAGGGTTTTGTCACTTAAAATAGAAATGCATCGTATCAAAATCTGGCGCCAAGGGGGGAATATAAACTCAACAGTAAAATCTCTATCAAATCCAGTTATTGCAAACTGACAGTACAGCATCTAAACACAGAGACAGAGAAGTCAATGACTCAGATGTAATTAGATTCACGGCCAGTGGTATCATTTTTGACCTCACAAATCTGGAAGGAAACATGTTACATTGTTGCCCTGGTGCTACAAAGCACAGCTGGGGTTCTCTCAAAGCAGTGAGTGGTTCTCAACCTATTTACCATTGTGGGCTGCATCTGTAGCTCTCTGTGTGTTACGTGGGCTGCATCCACACAACACATATACTACCTGTATGACCCTGAGGATGACACATTGGCTGCAGCTGTGTGCTGATTGGACCGCAAGCAACCCGCAGGTTGAGAACCACTGCTCTGGAGAGTGGAAACACTGCTAATTTGGGGCTGTAAAGGACCAGCATCAGTATCACCATAGATAGTAACAGAGGGCCTGATTGTCCTCTCAACTGATCCTGGGCTTACACCACGGATGTCGCTGGAGTTGCTCCTGACTTACACCAGTATAAAAATCAGACCCATGGCATCACTGTCACTTTAATACAAAGATTCAACACACACACACACACACACACACACACACACACATTCTGTGAATAGTAATCCGTATCCGACTCCTACAGTCAGACCTAGGCAACAGTCCAACTGACTTGAGTAAGTACTTGCTAAGGATTGCAGTATTCAGTTACTGGTTCATATGTTCAGACCTGTTATATAGGGTTTGGGGTTTTTTTGCCATTCATAACATTACCGTACATTATTCAAACAGCCTTCTTCTATGCCCCCTTTTAAGCCTCCTAAGATGACTGGTTGGAGCACTTAATTTTATACAGTGGAGCTTGTTGAAGAGCAGTGGTTTTCAACCTGTGGTCTTTGGACCCCTGGGGTCTGCAGACTATGCCTAAGGGGTCCACGAAAGGTTATCATTACCATAGAACAGCGGTTCTCAACCTGTGGTCTGCAGACTAGGTCTAAGATTTCCAAAGGGGTCAGCACCTCCATTGGAAATTTTTTAGGGGTCAGCAAATGAAAAAAGGTTGAAAACCACTGCTGTAGAGGAAAGCAGCATCGCTGCATTTCATTCCAGCACATGAACAATGCAGACACTGAATGTCAAGCAGTTTGGATTTTGTTCACTGCCAACAGACCAGAAGTATGAGATCACAGCAGTGAGATTACTGATCCTTTGCAACTGGCAGAGTAAGCCTCCTTGTATTATTACCATATCTGCAAATGAAAAAAAACTCGCAACATTATTTTGGCTTCTTAGAGTGCAAAGCTGTTAGGAGAAAAATGGAGGGGGGGGGGAATCCCAAAACCCACAGAGTTCATTCCATGCAGCTTTTTCTCCGATGAAACTTGGAAGAAAAACCCATTAAAGACTCAGGAAAAATCATCATTTAGTTTATACAGTTTTATTAAATGAAAAAAAAAAGTGATACACTTGAACTCCCAGCCAAGATTTTTCAATAGTGGATTTCAAAAAGCCAAGAGTCCTATGCCATGCATTTAACTAGCAGACTTTCTCCTATAAACACATGTCAATCTAGCATTTTATATGGAAAAAACAGTTTTGAAAATATTTTAGCACTATCCATTGAAAGGGTAAGGAAAAGGTCACAAATGCTGAAGCCAGCACATGTGTTCACAGGTGCTACTTCCAGCAGCAGCAAGAAAAGTAGCCAGATGCTAAGATGAAAAAAAAAATGGACAGAGATAACTTGGAAGCTGTGATACATGGACAGTCTACGGGGTTAGCTGACAAAATTTGCCCTTGGATGCGAATATGATTCAGATTGCCATATCCAGATAAGACAAGAGAAGAATAATCAGCAACTGCATTGAACTGCTTTAATATGCCCAATGTATGAATTTAATTTGAGCCAAATTTTCAAAAAGTAGAAGCTAGGTTTGTGCTTGTGCACTCACGTTTGCATGTAAAAAATCAATTGGTTAACTGCATGCACAATTACCCATTTACATGCTCAATTAACAAATCTGCATTCACAAATGCAGGTGAATGCACATAGGCTTCAGGCTCTGCTGTTTGAAAATTGGCTCCCTTGTCCTTAGGGATTATTTCTGAGCAGATGACATGCTACGGCTAAGGAGAAGAGGAGGATGCTATTTGATGTTAGAGAATTTCAAATACACAAAGAGCAGCTGTTATGCAAGAGAAGGTGGTAGAACAGTCTTCCAATGACTCTGCAGAAGTTTCTTGGGCAAGCCCGGGTGTCTGAAACATCAACCAGCTGATAGTGCCTAGTAGGATTTTTAAAAGAGCCTAGGTGCCAAACTCCTATTGGAACTGGCTGTTTAGATGGGATTTTCAAACATCCCAAGATGCCAAGTCCAATAAGAGTCAGGCACCTAGGCTGTTTTGGAAAATCCTACTAGGTGCCTATCTGCATCTTTAGGTGCTGCCACTAAAATGTAAAGAACCTATCAAGAATAGAGAAAAATATTTTTCTTTATTCTTTCATCTTGCTTACTTTTAGTATGAGACAGCCCTTTGTGTACAGTCAGTGTCATTGTTCCCCTGGTATAGTCATTAGCTAGTCATTTTCCCTTTTCGTTTGGATGGGTTTTTCCACACAGCAAACGGGGACAGACACACATTTTTAAAACAGGAAACTATGGTTATTAAAACCACAAGAATTGACGGGGGTCTCTAGGCTAGCTGTAATGCCCAAAACAACTTTTAATTCTTTTCTTTTTAAACTGACAGGGTTGCAAGTTGGCAGTGTCTCTTTTACTTCTCTGTGCCTCAGCTCCCCTACCTGTAAACCAGGGAGAAAAAGAGGGAGGAAGTGAGGCTTAATTTAGAATGTTTATAAAGCAGTTGAGCTCCTTAGATGGAATGTTCCACGGGTCTGCCCAGATCCACTCAGTCCCCTGCATGCACAGTGTGTGTAGGTGATAATATTTTAAAAATGCACATATGCTTACTGCGCGAAGTTGCATGTGCACTAAAGGAGGCCAGGTTGAGGGCCTTCTGTGACTCAGGCCCTGTACGTCAATCTCCATTTCAAAATAGCCATTAAGCTTTCTGAGGCAGCTCCTCTGAGGACAATTATTGTACTTTCTGCTTGGTTCTCTGAATATGAGCTAATATATTGATTCAGGAAAGAATCTCTAAAACACCTGGCACCACAAGAACATTCACTTTTTCCTCATGAAAAAAAAAAGGGATATATTTAATATTGATTAAAAAAAGAATATATACAGAATGTTCTTAAATCAACAGGGTAGTGTATGTGCAATTGTTAACATTTCCCACCACTTGACAGCAGTGCCAAAATATTGAAAAATCAATGTTTTATTTGCTCTTAAGGTCCTCCAGAAGTCTAGCTAATCCTTTGCTATTAGTGTTTGGAACTCAGCTATAGCGTCATTCTAACGCTTTCACTGGCCCAATGAATATTTAATTATTGAATTAAAGTAGAATAACTTCAATAGGAGAGACTGAGGGAGACTCACATTAGAATATCCCACAGTCTGGTAGTTAGGGCTGAGAGGTGGCTGATCCCCGTTTAAATCCCTTCTCCCCTTCAAGAGAAAGGAAGACTTGATCCAAGGGTCTCACATGCTGGGTTAGTACTCTAGTCACTAGATTAAAGGTTATAAAAGAGCTCCTCCCCCACCAATATTTCTCACTGCAAGCCTCTTTCAACACTGATTTCAAATGAGGATAACATTCTCCTTCACTTCTCTCTAAGTTATTGGGTAATGTGTTGCTAAACAGTTTCTGATGCTTGGTCTACACTTACGTGTAGGAGTCTACACTTAAAAAGTTTGCCCGGCATAGCAATGTTGGTTAGGAGTGTGAAAAAAATCCCACCCCTAGCTGACATAGAATCATAGAATATAAGGGTTGGAAGGGACCCCAGAAGGTCATCTAGTCCAACCCCCTGCTCAAAGCAGGACCAATTCCCAGTTAAATCATCCCAGCCAGGGCTTTTTCTTAATCATTAGGCCTCTCACGGTCACATCACTAGCTCTCTCTGTCTTAAACTGCACCCGCTGGGTTAGCAATCATATTGAGTCTAATGGTATGTCTGCCTTCAGAGATTATGAACATACTGCGGGGGATGGGGGAGTAATGGGTGTACACATTTCAAATTGCAATCTACTCCCCTGGTTTAAGATATGAATGCACAGAAATTCACTCTACACCAAGCCACCAAGTCCCTTATGAAAAAAAAAAAGGACAATATTCAACTTTAATGGTCCAGAACACTAAATCTTACAATAGAACCATCACAGTGTCTTGGATCATTACTGTGAAAGAGTGTAGGAGGTTGGGGGGTTTTCTAAATAAAAACCGCCTGATAACTTTCACTTTATCTAGAAGAAGGGAAGCTCTCTCCTTATGCTCTTGAATTGAACTGAAAATGCATCTGAGACCCTCATGTAATCATTTATGGCTAAATCAGTGTCTTTGGCCCAAATCCAGGTCTATGTTTGTGCACTGTGCCAGCCATTCAAAAAATCTGAAATTATGCTAGCTGTTGCACAGCATCTCTTTACCCCCGCAGGCTCTTTTCAATTCAAATGAAGGAGAAATCTGAAGCTAGATCACTTCGCTAAACACACACCTGCTGACATTTCATGCAGCTGTAATTGTCATTGGAAAGCGAAGTGTAAAATCAAAGAGCCCAACAATTAAAAGCAGTAAACAGTCACGGGATGCAGAGCATATTAAGTAATCCCCATAATACAACAGACGATGTTTAGATAGTGATTTGCTCTAAGTCTGACACAGTGTTATTGTATGTATCTTTGAGAATGTATCTACTTTCTGAAGTGCTCTAGTAATAACAGCAAGAGATTAGAGATAGAAAATAATTGATTTTATATTGTTTTTGGTATTCATTTTCAGGC